GAGCCGGGGGCGTCTGTCCTGCCTGTGTGTCAGGGGCACAGTGTGGTGTGTCTGTCCATCTGTCTGTCCTGGCCTCTACTGGAATGGCAACACTGGTGCCCGGGTCCTGCACACCTGGGGTGTGATTTGGCGTGATTGGGAAGGGAGGGAGGGACGGGCTGGTCCCTGTGCTGGGGGCAAAGCGTGGGATGGGGATGAGGTGGGATGGAGATGGAGATGATGGAGATGGGGGTGGGGAGGGTGATGGAGATGGAGATGGAGATGATGGAGATGGAGATGGAGGATGGAGGATGGAGATGGAGGATGGAGAATGGAGATGGAGATGGAGATGGAGATGGAGGATGAAAGGTGGAGATGAAAGGTGGAGTAGAGGATGGAGGATGGAGGATGGAGAATGGAGATGGAGATGGAGATGGAGGATGGAAGGTGGAGATGAAAGGTGGAGTAGAGGATGGAGGATGGGAATGAAGATGAAGAATGAGAACGGGGAAGAGGGAGATGGAGGATGGGAATGAGGATGGAGGATGAGGATGGAGGTTGGAGATAGAGAATGAAGGATAGGGATACGTTTGAAGGATGGATATGGAGGATGGGGATGAGAATGAAGATGGGGATGGAGGATGACAATGGATGATAGGGCAGCTCTGAACATTTCCAAAAGCTCTAATCCAGGCAGCAGAAAGTGCCTGCGAGCTGAAAAGCTGTTTTGACCTCCCCAAGCCCCAGGGTGACACGTGGAGTGCCAGCAGGGAAGCTCAGGATCCCAAAACACGTGGGTGAACGGCTCGGCAAAATGGGAAGAGAGGGATTTGCTTGGGAGTTTCCCCATGGTGCCGGCGGGTTTGAGCCCTCCTGGGTGGCACTGATGGGATTTGGGTGGTGGGGACGGATGCCAGCGACTGTCCCTGGCCGCATCCTGCGGGGACATGGTGCAGTGCTCACCCAAGATGTCTCCTCTCCGTCTTGGCCGGGCTGTGGCTAATTACTGATGACTTGTGGCTAATTACTGCAGATAATGAAACATTGAGCTGTCATCTGTAATATCGGGGGTAGTGCTGAGCCAGGCGGGAAGCCGCTGCCATTCGGGCAGGGCCGTGCTGCCTTTGCTGCCCGGACTGGTGCCGGCGCAAGCTGGCAGAGCCCGGCACG